TTTCAATACACTGTTTACAGTTTGATGGAATCGTATAATTTTTCTCTTTTACCATAGTTCATATTTATTTACACATTTTTTTGTATTGTATGATTTGAACTTTTTGTTCCTTGTTATGATCAATGTTCATATATTAGAGTACTTATGATGACAAATTAGGTTTTTTGGTTTGATTGCACTACATTAAATGTTTTTAATGTAGCTCTGATTGTTGCCTGGACTAAAACTGTGTCTTAATGTATGTGATGAGTACTTAAAATGCTAATCCATGTGGTTCCCCCCTGCTTTTTTGTTGCATTGTATGTCAAAAGCGCTAGTTCTTTCATGCATGTGTAAGATTTAATGGTGCCATTGTATTATTTGACCATGACATTTTGGAGAGACAGTCCTAGCTGTGATGTTGTTTATGGTAGTTCTCACTGGATGCTAGATTTTCAAAACCACCATTCTTCTAATAAATTTTGTTGTGAAATGAAAGAATGGCCATAACCAAAAAATAATAATAGATGTTAGCATGGATGTAGTCAAAATGGAATACTTTCCCACTGTTGTTGGGATTGTAAACTAGTACAACCCTATCTAAAACAGTGTGGGGAGTTCTTAAAGAACTAAAAGTAGAACTACCATTTGATCCAGCAACCCCACTACTAGGTATCTACCCAGAGGAAAAGAAGTCATTATACCAAAAGGCTACTTGCACACACATGTTTATAGTAGCAAAATTCCCAATTGCAAAAAAATTTGCAGCCCAAATGCCCATCAGTTAACAAATGAAGAAACAAAATATGGAGACACACACACACACACACACACACACACACACACACACACACACACCATGGCATACTACTCAGCCATAAAAAGGAAAAAAATAATGGCATTTGTAGCAACTTGAATAGAATTGGAGAGAATTATTCTATGTGAAGTAACACAGGAATGGAAAACAAAACATTGTATGTTCTCACTCATAAGTGGGAACTAAGCTGTGAAGACACAAAGGCTTAAGAATGATACAATTGACTTTGTGGACTCAAAAAAAAGGGTGGGAGTGGAGTGAGGGATAAAAGACTACACATTAGATACACTGTAGACTGTACCACAATCTGACAAATTACCACTAAAGAGCTAAAGAACTTATTCAAGTTATGTATATACATATGAAACTGTTAATAACCTAGAGAAAATGAAAATGACAAATCAATATCTGTTATCTATAGAAAGACAAAAGTCATTAACAAAATACTGTATACCCAAACCAGAAATAAATAAAAAGGATTATACATCACGAACAGGTAAGATTTATTTTAAATTTAAATGTCTTTTTAAAGTTCCAAAATTATTAATGTAATGCACCATATCAATAGAATAAAGTATCAAAACAACATGTTATATCAATAGACTCAGACTACACATTTTACAAATTTCAACAATACTATGTGATAAAAAATACTCAACAAACTAAGAATAGAAGGTAATTTCTTTAACCTGATAAAATTCCTTATAAAAAATCTACAACAAAAATATTTAACGATAAGAGATTGAATGCCATCCCTCTAAAATCAGAAGTAAGGCAAGACTGTCCATTCTTTCCACCTCTATTCAACATTTCACTGGAGATTCTGGTAGGGCAGTTAGATGAGCAAATAAAATAAAGGGCATCCAGATTGGAAAGAAATAATTTAAAGTGTTTCTATTTGCAGATGACATTATCTTACATAAAGGGAATTCTAAGTTATCTACTAAGAATTACTAGAACTAATAAACAACTTTTTAAGGTGTATGAGTATGAGATTTATAGCAATGAATAATACAAAAGTAAATTAAGAAAATAATTATTTAACACTAGAATAAAAATAAAATACGTAGGAGTAAATTTAATAAAAGAAGTTCAAAACTTGTTCCGTGAAAACTACAAAAAACAAATAAAGGAAGATCTAAATAAATGGAAATAACTCATGTTAATGTGAGAAACTTAATGCTATTAAAATGATAACATTTCCCCAGATTATCTTCAGATTCAATGCAACCCTTATCACAGTTTTTACTGCACTCTTTTCAGAAATTATCAAGCTGATCTTAAAATTCATATGGAATTGCAAGGAACATAGGATAGCAAAAGTGATATTGATAAAAAGCAGAACAAATTTTGAGGACTTACAGGTTATGATTTTAAAACTTACAGCAAAGCTACATTAATCAAAAGAGCGAGGTACCTTCATAAGTAAAGACACATAGATCAATGGAAAATAATTAAATAACCAGAAATTGATTTTGAACATGAGTGAAAATTGAATGCAGAAAGAATTATCTTTTCAACAAAAGCTGCTGGTACAACTAGTTATCCATATGCAAAATTAAGAACTGGGACTCATGCTTCAAACCATACATAAAAATTTACTAAAGATGGATGAAACATGTAAATACAAGGTCTAAAGATATACAACTCCAGGAGAAAAACATAGATGTTAATATTCCAGGTCGTGGACTATGCAAGTTTCTTATATGTGACACCAAAAGCACAAGTAACAACAACAAAAAAATACATACGACATCATCAAAATTAGAATTTTATGCTTCAGCATTCACTATTAAGAAAATTAAAAGACAATCCTAAAGTGGGAGAAAAAATTTGCATATCATATATCTGAAAAGGTAATTAACAAATATTTCTTCAAAGAAAATCTACAAATGGACAATAAGCACATAAATCATGTTTAACATAATTGGCTATCAGGAAAATGCATATCTAACCCACAATGAAATGCAACCTACTAAGGTGGATTTAATCAAAACACAGATAACATATATTGATAACAATATGGTGAAATTTCTAGCAGGAATGTTGATAATAAAGCCACTTTGAAAAAGACCTGGCATTTTCTAAAAATATTTCACAAAATTTCCATATGGCCCAGCAATTCCATTCCTAGGTATATACCCAACAGAAATGGAAAACATGCATCTGAACAAAAACTTGTCCACGAATGCCTGAAGCATTATTCATAATAGTCAAAGAAGAAACATGCTAAATGTCCATCAACTAATAAATGGATGAACAAATTGTGGTGTATCTACATCATGTTGAATATACAGACATTAAAAAGAATAAAATATAGATACATCCTACGGCATAGACGAACCTCAAAAATACTATGCTAAGTGAAAGAAGACATTCATCAATTACCACATACTGTATAATTCCATTTATACAACATGTCCAAAGTAAGCAAATTTATAGAGACAGACATTAGATTAGTATTTGGCTAGGTGTTGGGAGAATAGGGGAAAAAGGTCAAAGGCTAAGGGGTGTGGAAATGCTTTTTTGGGTGATTAAAATGTTCTAAAATCAATAATGGCTGTTCAATTCTATGAATACACTAAGAGCCAATTAATTGTGTACTTTACATGTGTGAATTTTTATGGCATGTGGATTTCTTTTTTTTTAAAAATGCTGTTTTCTATTCTTTTTATTACTAATATTAAACATGTTACAAAGAAGAGAAACTCATTCTCAGTTCTCCAACAGCTCTCATCCCCCTCTCTTGTCCATACAACTCCTGGCCCATTTCCCCAGAGCCAGTTCAGTACTGAGCCTGGTCATTAGCATTTTCACAGAAAACGGTCAGTGCCAGGGATGCAGGGGAGGATGGTTGGAAGATGGTGATAGTACTGTTCCAGGTTCCACCGAAAGACAGGCCCTGTGCAGTTTCACATAATTCAAATGAAAGCGCTGGTGACCTCACAATGACATGATCTAACTAAAATGGGCTGAAGAAGAGATAGGTGGGGTCAAACCAGCAGAGGGTTTATAAGGCATTTTACAGGCCTGTGTCAGAACCAGAATAATCAACACCAGGAGAAGAACGTGGAGGACCAGGGAGACAGTCTTATGGAAAGTTCATAATTCTCCCATGTTGGGAGGTAGAAACGTCTAGAGTGTAACAAGTACCTCACTCACTTTGGCAGAAAAACTTATTCTAGTATTGGGAAGTCACAAAAATACCACAGACACAGAAAAGCTACAAGGGCATGCACAGTTTCACAAAGTACAGTGATCACAGACCATAGTGGTGGGGATCATACTACTGACAGAGAAACTACAAAATCCAAAAGTAGCAGGTGGATTTTTAATAAATGTGTTTGAAAAATCTGTTCTCTGTAAAATTATCTTGTGGTTGTCATCATAATATTCTTATACAAACAAAGAGGGTTTCCAAACGTCATTACAAATCATTGTGCAGAAGCCAAATTATTTATAGTGAATTAGAATAAATAGAGAATAAATAAATAAATATTTGACACCATTCTGATTAGTGTGAATAGTCACAATAAATTCTATGAAGCAGAACACAATATCAACTTTTTGTAGTCAGTGGCCAGATCATACTGTTATGACCCAAGCCTCTTCCTTTTCTTGACTTCTGTTGCTTTAGTCAGTAAAACAGTTTGCCTACACCTCTATGTTTTCATATATGAATCATATATGGTTTTTGCTGTGTGTGTGTTTCCTTTTCTCAATGTAATCAGCATATTGTCTTGCCTGGGGGATTAGCTATCTCTGAAATACAATTTTTGTTCCATTTTAATAGTATCCTCAGTAGTTATGCATTATGTTTTCATCCTGAAGTAACACACAAATTTCTTATAAATTGGAATTTAATTGGATTCCAGCATGCTTCACTATTTTTAAGGCAAATCTTACAGGTCACAGCTAGGTTTTTAGAGGATTACTTTTAGGTACATCTTTAAATAAAATCAAAACCAAAATTCTTGCATCTGTGATACACACACACACACACACACACACACACACACACACACACACAATGCTCATAAAAGGTGTTTCCTTTTTGCCTGTTTTTGAGAAGTAACAAAAAAGTATTTATAAATAACCGTCAAAATTTTAACTTCCATAAAGCCTTTAATTAATATCACACTGATGTTCTCCTGAACTAACCATCATGAAAAAATTTTCCCTATTGGCAGATTATACTTTCTACCTGTAGATCTCTACAGATATAACATCTGAGCCAAACCTTTATTTAACCCTAAACATTTAACAAATAAAACTTTTAAATAACCCTACCAGTCAGCCAAAGTGAAAACCATTAAAACTTTTATATTTATATAAACATAAAAGATAGAACACTTACTTCCATTGTAAAAATAGTTTGCAAGAATAAAGGATATCAAAGATTCAAATTAAAATATATTTAGTGGTATGGTTGTCAATATAATCAAAGTGGAATTGTCATGAAGCATAATACCCTTAAGGAGTTCCTAACTTCTGTTCATGGTTTATGGTTACTGTTCATAAGCAGTAATAGTTTATTCCTTCAAGAATAAATTAAAAAATGAAGACAACAAATCAACTTTGAAGGTCAAATTTAAATCTAACTGCCTTAAAATAATTTCTAAGACGTGTTATTGTCCATTTTGTGAAGCTCTGCTGGCTTGACTTCCAAACCTTTCAAAGTACAACATAATATGGTCACTAGTTACAATGGTATAAAAGTCTCATAATAGTGGAATTACATGATGCCAATTAGTTTGGAATCTCACTGTACGGTGGTCAAGTAATGTTGAGGTTCTTGAAAAGAAAAAAAGAGGGGATATAGAGAATGATCTAAGACCTAATGAAAAATAATTCTTGACTAATACTTTCAATATTCAGCAAACATATATTTAATATTTTATTTAAAATTAAGAATAGAATCTAACATCATAATGCATTTCTTACTGTAAATTAGTCAATAAAATATAAATGTTCCTTTAATTAAATATGGATATAATTTCAAATTTTCATAAGGAAAATCTGGTGACATAATAGGAGCAAATAATAAAGACATAATTATTTTATATTTTAGCTGAATTCATCTAAGCTTTTGAATTAATCCTTTGGGCCCATTATATTATACATAAATCTTATGCTGATTAGAAAATGACCAGATATTAACTCCTCGTTACATAGATTTTTTGCAAATGTTTTCCTCTATTATTAAGAGTAAATATGCAAAATATATAAGAACTTCCTACAACAAACAAAATAACCTGATTAAAAATGGGAAAAGGACTTGAATAAACATTTCCCCAAAGCAGACATGGCAATGGTCACTAGGTATACACAAAAAAATGATCAACATCATTACTCATTAGGGAAATGCAGATCAAAGCCACAGTGAGATATCACCTCACAGTAGGTATAAAAGTATTTGTTGTTATTTTTAAAAAATGATTTGGGAAAGCACCTTAAAACAATTAATTTATGGTAATAGAATTTGCAGATAATCCTTCGCTATAAAGGCCAGACAATATTGGCTATCAACCAGGTATTACTATGTTCTGGACATTGGATATATCTAATATGACAAAATTAAATATAGGTAGAAAAAGTGCAAGCACACAAATACATATCTGGAGAAATGTGCCTTAATGATACTTTTTCATGTATGAATACATTTTTATATGTGCATTTATATGACAATTCTTTTTTTTATTGAATTTTAGGTTTTGGGGTTACACGTGAAGAACATGCAAGATTGTTGCATAGGTACACACGTGGCAGTGTGATTTGCTGCCTTCCCCCCCTCACTTATATCTGGCATTTCTCCCCATGCCATCCCCCCCCAACTCCCAAGCCCCCCATCCCTCCCCTATTTCCCTCCAACAGACCCCAGTGTGTAGTGCTCCCCTCCCTGTGTCCATGTGTTCTCGTTGTTCAACACCCGCCTATGAGTGAGAACATGTGGTGTTTGATTTTCTGCTCCTGTGTCAGTTTGCTGAGAATGATGGCTTCCAGGTTCATCCATGTCCCTACAAAGGACATGAACTCATCGTTTTTGATGGCTGCGTAATGTTCCATGGTGTATATGTGCCACATTTTCCTGGTCCAGTCTATCATCGATGGGCATTTGGGTTGGTTCCAGGTCTTTGCTATTGTAAACTGTGCTGCAATAAACATTCGTGTGCATGTGTTCTTATAGTTGAATGATTTATAATCCTTTGGATATATACCCAGTAGTGGGATTGCTGGGTCAAATGGAATTTCTATTTCTAGGTCCTTGAGGAATTGCCACACTGTCTTCCACAATGGTTGAACTAATTTACACTCCCACCAACAGTGTAAAAGTGTTCCTATTTCTCCACATCCTCTCCAGCATCTGTTTTCTCCAGATTTTTTAATGATCGCCATTCTAACTGGCATGAGATGGTATCTCAATGTAGTTTTGATTTGCATTTCTCTGATGACCAGTGATGATGAGCATTTTTTCATATGTTTCTTGGCCTCATGTATGTCTTCTTTTGTAAAGTATCTGTTCATATCCTTTGCCCACTTTTGAATGGACTTGTTTGTTTTTTTTTCTTGTAGATCCGTTTTAGTTCTTTGTAAATTCTGGATATCAGCCCTTTGTCAGATGGGTAAACTGCAAAAATTTTTTCCCATTCTGTTGGTTGCCGATTCACTCTAATGACTGTTTCTTTTGCTGTGCAGAAGCTGTGGAGTTTGATTAGGTCCCATTTGTCTATTTTGGCTTTTGTTGCCAATGCTTTTGGTGTTTCGGCCATGAAGTCCTTGCCTACACCTATGTCCTGAATGGTTTTGCCTAGATTTTCTTCTATGGTTTTTATGGTGTTAGGTCTTACGTTTAAGTCTTTAATCCATCTGGAGTTAATTTTAGGGTAAAGTGTCAGGAAGGGGTCCAGTTTCTGCTTTCTGCACATGGCTAGCCAGTTTTCCCAACACCATTTATTAAACAGGGAATAATTTCCCCTATTGCTTGTTTTTGTCAGGTTTGTCAAAGATCGGATGGTTGTAGATGTGTTGTGTTGCCTCCTAGGCCTCTGTTCTGTTCCATTGGTCTATATCACTGTTTTGGTACCAGTACCATGCTGCTTTGATTATTGTAGCCTTGTAGTATAGTTTGAAGTCCAGTAGTGTGATGCCTCCCGCTTTGTTCTTTTTGCTTAGAATTGACTTCGCTATGCAGGTTCTCATAAAATGATTCCATCATTCTCATATGGAATCTTTTGATTCCATATGAAGTTTAAGGTGGTTTTTTCCAGTTCTATGAAGAAGGTCATTGGTATATATGCATTTATATGCCAATTATTCTTTTTAAAATTTTTTTATTTTAAGTTCTGTGATACATGTGCAGGATGTGCAGGTTTGGTACACAGGTAAACATGTGCCATAATGGTTTGCTGCATCTATCAAACCATCAAAACTACCCCCAGTACAATTGGACTAAATAGAATAACCTAGTTTCCAAAAAGCTGATGTAATATTAGCATCTAGTGATGAAGTCAGAGAAGAGATGACACCACACATTTCACACAGGCAGGTCATACTTATTTATTACGGCAAGCACCAAGTCTCATTAGATATTTTATTCTTTGAACATAATACAGTGTTTAGCACATAAGAGATGCCCAATAACAATTAGATTGATGAAAAAAAGATTACTGGATATGAGAAATCATAAAAGAAAATATAGAGACAATTTAGCGAGAGAAGGCATGGAAATAGGCCTATCCACAGTGACAAATTTAGTTATATTTCAATATGCATTATTCTTTTTTTTCTGAGAAATACAAATACCACTTTTATCTGAACACATGACATCCCAAAATAAAGACTATATTTCTGTGCCTCCCTTACAGGTAAGCAGGCATATGAACAGATTTTTGAAAAGGTGATTGACCAGAATTGTATTTATAACTACTGGAAATTTTCCATGAAACTCAGGGGTGACCTTCTCTTTTTCTTTTTTACAGATGGCTGGAATATTGACCTAGTAAATGAAGCCGGGACAGCCATTATTTGCCTTAAAGTAGAATCTGTGTCCTAGAATCGCACTAAAACCATTTAGAAGGAGCCTTTATACCTATAAATCAAAGAATTTCTAGACTATCCCTAAATGCATATCTCTGGATTTTGTTTATATGAGACAACGTTATTTTGCGTTATTTGAAATAAGATTTGATTGCGTTTTCTGTTACAAGAACTGAATTATATCAAGGCAGATATCCTCAAGTATTTTATAGTTAATTATGCAGAAATTAGAAAAGATATTTTCTATCTAGCTATAGGGGTAGATTTTGTATCAGTGGGTGGAAGCTATATGGAAACATGTTTGACTGACAGTAACAACTTTCTTACACTTAGTGTCATCTTAATAATAAAGGAATAGATATTTGCCCATGTTAGTGGCTGTTTAATATAAATTAACCCTTCTCTTGACTAAGACTAGAGAAGGTGTCCGTAGTATTATAAAACAACTAATTAGAAACAATACAGAGTATTGAATAATATAGAATAACTGTGGTAGATACCTATGGGACTAAGATCTGAGAAAACATGGAAACTCATGAGTATGAATCCAGTATTTAGGAAAGCTATTTCTTAAGAGGAACCTGCTGGCTCTGGAAGATGCTTTAAAATACAAACAAAATAAAATAGGTGCTGAGAATTATACGAGGCTTAAGGACAAAAATTGGAGTTAAGTGTTGTTAAGAAGGAAGCACCGTGATGAAACTTTCACCCTTTGGAATGGCAAACTAAAGAGCTACATTCTAAGAATAGGACACCGGAAATGTCTTTCCTCTCAGTAGTGGTAGCATAGTATCAACTTATCTCTACATTTATAACTGAATTTAGGTAACTGGAGGTTACCAGTGCCCCCAAACATTTGATAAAATAAAAAGCCAATCTCTTCAGAAGAAAAAAACCTTTTTGTCCTGAAATCAATGTTATTATTGCTTTCCACACAAAATAGCCTAAACTAAATCAAAAGAAATCAGTGACACAATGAAACAAGAAAACAACACTAGCTAGAAACAAAAGAAAATGTTAGACTTTAGAAAGAGATGCATAGGAGTAAAAATAATTGTATTATAAGGCACAGACTTAAACTACACATAATTTTTCAAATATAGAACGTATAAAAAATCAAGTTGCAAATGTGCAAGTACAAAAGTGTAGTTGAAAAGAATCTAGAACTGAAGTACAACATAAATTAACAATTTAGTGGATGTTTTAAGTTTAGATTAGATACAAGAGAAGATATATTTAGTGAAATGGAAGATAAGTAAGAAAATTGGACATAATAAAGCACAGAAGAACAAATAAGGTTAGAGACAGAGTGGATATAGCAAAAAAGTCTAATATATATGTATTTGGAATTCCAGCAGAAAAGAATAGAAAAAAATGGAACATCACTAAAAATTATCAAACCTTAAAGAACTCTAGAGTCTTCTGAAGGTTTACAAATTTCAAGGGAAGGCTTTGATGGTAAATTGTAGTTAATTCTGGTCAATATTAGCTTTTAGGGGAGTAGCAGCTACCTACCCTCCATCCTTTAGCTCCATGACAGGTAGCTGTGCACATGTTTCTGGAGCAGTTTGACACATCTTGAGGTAAATAAGGTGATCAAAAAACCCCATTTCTACAAATATGAGAGGTTCCTGTTCTGATCGCTGATTACTGCTTTTGTATCAAAGATGTGCAGACAGAGGCCTTGGCCATTGTTTTAGCAATGTTTTGGCCAACCTCTGTTGTTGCAAGCCACATCCCCTCTGGGTAAAGTGACTTCCAGGAAATTTGAAGGGACAGTTCTTTCATTTCCCACCTTCATTTTTCTTTTTTTCCCCTTTCAGGAGTAATACATTGAAGATCAGGATATTCAAAAGCAACCATATGTACAGGGGAAGTTAGAAAGTCACCTTGAATGCCCAGGGTAAAATGTAAGCTCTGAAAAACCTAAGACCTTAAGCTTACACTTCAGATTGATCTTTGGCAAAGAAACAGTCTACAAATAAAAAAACACATTCCCCACAGCAAAAGCAAACTCTGGGGGAGGGAATAAATGGAATTCTTGAGTTACCATATCATCGGATTAAAATGTCCAGTATTGAACAAAATCTCACAAGCAAACAAAGAAACAATACGATATGACACATCCAAAGAATAAAAGAAGATAATAAACCAATAGAAACATCCCCTACAAAACGACTCAATGGCATATCTACTAAACAGACATATTAAAACAATTGTCCTAAAGATATTCAAGTAAATAAAGATATGATGAAAGTAAAGAAAATGATGTATAAACAAAATGGAAACAGCAACAGAGAGATAGAAAACCTTTAAAAAAAACAAAAAGAAATTCTAAAGGTAAAAAGTATAATAAATGAAATGAGAGATTCACTAGAGGGATTTGAAGCCAGATTGGAACCCGTAAAAGAAAGAATCAGTGGACTTGTGAGAAAAAGGAAAGTAGTTCGAGGAAAATAATGGAAGAAGACTGATGAAAAGTAAACAGGACCTAACACATCTGTGTATTTCTAAGACATCATCAAGCAAATCAATATATGCATTGTGCAGTTCACAGAGAAAAAAAAGAAGAGAGAAAATTTGAAGAAATATGGCAAAAAACTTCCCAAATTTGTTTTAAAAATACAATGTGGATATAAACATCTAAGCAGCTCAAAAAATGCCAAGTAAGTTGAACTTGCAGAGATCCACATTGAGACACCTTATAATCAAATTATATTGAAAGTCAAACATAAAGAATTTTGGAAGTAGCAAGAGAGAAGTAACTCATATATGAGGGATCATTGATAAGTTTATCGACAGATTTCACATAAGGAACTTTTAAGTCCAGAAGGCAGTGGGTTTATATATTGAAAGTGCTAAAAAAAAAAGCACCGTGAATGAGAATCCTATTTTTGGCAAGGCTATTCTTCAAAAGTGAGGGAGAAGTTAAGACATTACTAGAAAAACAAAAGCTGAAGTAATTTGTTACCATTAGACCTGCACTGCAGGAAATTCTTAAGGGAGTTCTCCAGGTTGAATGAAAGATATTAGACTTTAGCTTAAAGCTCTATGAATAAATAAATATCTTAATAAATATGAATACAAGGGCAATTATGAAAACTAGGATTATGGGAACAGTGATGTGTAACTTTACTTTTTGTTTTCTAGAAGATTAAAGAAACTAATGAATTAAAAATTATTAGTTTATATTTTGGGATACATGATAAATAAAGATGTAATTTTGTGACACAACAACTGAAAGTAGTGGGGACAGAACTGTAAAGGAGCAGAGTTTATGTATGTTACTGAAGTTTAGTTGGTATAAATTCAAATTATAGTGTTATAACTTTAGAATAAAAACACAATTCAAAAATAGGGAAAGGATGTAAATAGATATTTCTCCACAGTAGATATACATAGGGCCAATAAGCACCTGAAAAAGTGCTCAACATCAGTAATAATTAGGAAAATACAAATCGAAACTACAAAGGGATAACAATTATCACCTGTAAGGATAGCTACTATCAAAATAAGAAAACAAGAACAAAAATAGGAAGCACTGGTGAGATTGTGAAGAAATTAAAAACCTTGTACGTAGTGAAAATGTAAAGTGGTAAAATTGCTGTGCAAAACAGGATGGTCATTTCTCAAAAAAAAATTAATCATAGAATTATCATATGATCCAATAATTCTATGTTTGGGTATATGATCAAAATAATTGAAAGCAGAATTTTGAAGAGATTCTTGTACACCTGTGTTAATAGCAGAATTATTTACAATAGCTAAACTGTGGAAGCAAATCATGTGTTCATTGACAAACGAATATATAAGCAAAATGTGTTATATACATACAATGAAATAATATTCAGACTTAGAAAAGAAGGAAATTCTGACATTCGGCTAAAGCATGGATGAACTTTGAAGATATAATACTAAGTGAACTAAGCCAGTCATTAAAATAGCCATATGATGTATGCTTTCACTTACATGAAATACTTAGTGTAGTAAAAATCATAGAGACAAAAAGTGGAATTGTGGTTTCCAGGGGCTTATGGCAAAGAGAAAGGAAGTTATTTTTAATGGGTATAGAATTTTGGAAAACAAAAAAGCTCTGGAGATGCATGGTGGAGATGGTTACATAATGCACTGAACCTTACAGTTAAAATGTTTCAATTGGTAAATTTATTATGCATATTTTAGCATAATTAAAAATCTTTAAAGATAAAAAGGCACAACTAGAAATAAAAAGCTGAAAAATATTTGCAATTTACATTACAGTTAGCTGCTGTGCCAAATACAGAAAAATTTACTAAACTTTGAATTATCAAAAGACAAGCAAGCCAATAGAAAAATTGGAAAACATATATGAATCAGTGCTTTGCAGATGAAGACATTAAAATGTATTTTAATCACATAGGATTAGGTTGATGGCTACACTACAAGCCCAGACTTCACAACTACACAATATATCTATACAACAAACTCTGCTTGTACCCGATGAATATATACAAATAAAAATTTTAGAAAACAATAAAGAAAAATAAATATATAAATAAAAGATAAACAGAAAATTATATTCAACCGAACTAATAATCAGATAAAAGCAAATTAAAAGTACCATGTGGAGGATTCTGGAAACATGATGAACATACAGCATAATTTTTTCATCTCTCTAAATAAATAATGAAAAAGAAACCAACTTCGGGCACTCACAGATATAACTGAATCCACTGAAGCCAGAAACATCAAGATAGATATAACTTAAGGTGTTTCAGGAATATGGTGTTTTGTTTACTATCAATACTTTACATATTTGTTAGAATTAGTTCACTGAAAATTAGCAAGTCTTAAAAGGATAAAAATTCCCCTCCATTATGATCTTTCTTGATCATAATTTCTCTTTATGCATATTACCACATAGGCAGTATTTTAAACTTTAAGCAGTGTCTGTGCATATGTATTATATAAGTACATACATTTATACGTACATACCCACTGTGGCAAGATATCAGCAGTAATGACATAAATGCTAAATCTTCCTGAATACTCACATAAAAAGAATCAGAACCACTAGGTAACAAAATCTCATGGACAATGTTTAAAATAAAATGAGGTTACATTTTATCTGTACAAACTCTAAAATACAAGCAGGTAAGAATAAGCTAACATCTGCCAAAAGAGCTGCATGAACTTAATGTGTGGGATAAAGCAGAGGAAATAAATGGGTATCTAATGGACTTTGGTACTGAAACTTAAAAAAACCAACAAGAGTACTATAGAAATAATGGGATTCCAATGGGAGAATAGCAGCTGAAAGTGATGGTTTTGTCCAATCTGATATCCAGAGAGTGCAAAGGCCTGTGGTAAGGTCCTAAAAGACTGATGCAGTGTAGTTTCTATGAACTCTTTAAACTGAGAAAACAGATTTTCCTTTTTAGATTAGAGAAGGCAGCACACTGAGAAAAAAATCAATGGGAGTAAAATAAAAATTGAATAGGCTACAGATAAAGAAGATAAATTGAAGAAAAGATCTAGATAAAAGAAGGGACATGGAATAAAATTGGGAAATAGCAGTATATTTAAATACTATAAAATTACTATACTGGAGAAAAGTTTCTCTGAGGTTAAAAAGAAAAATCATGTTGAACTATGTCTCTAAAATTTCAAAAAATTAAATTTTACAAATAAATAAGCTACCAAACTATCAAGGTCAAGTTCCCAAAAGAGCTTGTTGTCAGAAACAAAGAATAAACAGCAGTACAAGAGCTTTAGAAATAATGAAAAGCATATAAATAAGGCATGCCCACTGGATAGTTACTGTAAACATCAATTTAAACATTATCTAAAAAATCATTAAAGTAATGATACAAAATATTAAAAAAACATAACTTGGGATTATAAAACCTGAATTATGGACTTGGATCCAAGATGGCCGTTTAGGAACAGCTCAGGATTGCAGCTCCCAGTGAAAGTGCAGAGGGTGAGTGGACGACGCATTTTTATTGCCCACAGACTAGGAAATTCCCAGGCGGAGGAGCTCCACAGGTCACCAGCGCGGCTGTTTCGGCCAGCGCCTCTGCTTTGCCCCACGCGGCTGCTTTGTCGGCACCCCGAGCAGCGGTTCTCCATACAAAATAC